GGCATTCATTTTTTATTTTTGGAATTTTCAAGTTAATATGTTGAATTTTCAAGTTAGTATGTTGAATTTTCAAGTTAGTAACTTGAACATACTGGCTTGAAAATTCAACATACTAGCTTGAAAATTCAACATACTAGCTTGAAAATTCAACATACTAACTTGAAAATTCAACATACTAACTTGAAAACACTTTTCTTTTAAATTCAAATAACGTTTCATTGATTAAAATCGTCTTTAAGATAGGCACCAGTGAAATACCCAAGAACGACGAGACTATATTGATCCTAGTAAACATATGTTACATCAGTATTGGCTCTAAGAGAAACAAGAAATGAACACAAGTATTATCGATTTACCAGGCAAATTTAGCGGCGAATACGATAGACGATAGTCGCTTCCAATCCATTTCATGAAAAATCTATGCTGGCTTAGGTTACCATATAGATTGAGTAGTTGATAAAAGTTTTAAACTCTTAATCTACACATCTTTATGGGGTTAAACTAATCAAGAAGTTACTGATAGAACTTTAAATGATTAAACACCACGAATAAAGAAATATAAGGAACTGGTGAATGTTATATAGTCAGTAAAGGTAAGAATTATTTTAAAACATTTACCAATGTATCTAGGGTCTGAATCTGATCTTAATTTCTATTTCTAATTATTTGTGATATTTTCAACTAGGATAAGAAAAAATTACAGTTGCAAATTGGGTCTTACTTTATACTGACAAAATGCTGCAATTGGCCACTTTCTTTTCAGAATACAATGTAAAAATTTGTTTTTACTAAGTCAAGGGCAATAACTCTGAAACCGTTCATCCCATTATTACCAAATTCAAACTTGACCAAAATCTTATCAATATCTTCATGCATACCGGGTCTTACTTTATACTGACAAAATGCTGCAATTGGCCACTTTCTTTTCAGAATACAATGTAAAAATTTGTTTTTACTAAGTCAAGGGCAATAACTCTGAAACCGTTCATCCCATTATTACCAAATTCAAACTTGACCAAAATCTTATCAATATCTTCATGCATACCGAGTTTCATCAAGATCGGATAAAAACTGTTGTCTTTATCGTGCATACAAGCCAAAGTTGATGCATTCTTACTAAATCAAGGGCAAATCCGATTATTACCAATTTCGAAACTGACTGAAATCTCTTCAATATACAAGCATACAAAGTTTCAGCAAATCAGTTCAGATAGCCTCTATTGTACATACAAGAAATGTGAACGGACGGACGGCAATATACGTCCAAATTTCCATGACAGTATTTGCTGCTAAGTAGAAAAAAAACCTAGGAGGTTAAAGTTAATTAGTAAACTACGCTTTTAACAGATTAAACTTCTTAAAACAAGAAATTAAAACGCAAGTAAAAGTTCTGAAGTATTATCTTTTGAGGTAAAGCGCATAACAAGTTAATCTACACAGACTACACTATAGACTTTACCCAAAACACAACGCGCTGTCTTAATCAAAAACCCTTTGTAAATGTACATATACATTCACAATCAAATTGCAATTTTGTTCCTTTGGTTGATTTTCAACAAATGTGACTATTATGAATCAAATACCAACAAATTATTGTAAACATCTGCATACATTGTTAGAATGGCATTGATTTTATAACACACAATATGCGATTTCAAACTAAAGATTATACCTAACCATTTCAAAGTAACATTATATAATATATATCATGTACTTAAGAAAATCTCCCATGCTAGATATGTTTGAAATGACCACTTTTAATTCGGGGAATTTGTGTTAAGGTGTTGTTGCAACTTGTGTCCAATACCAATATATAGCAATATATGTTTACACTCAAGGGCATAATCATAATAATTGTGCTATTGTCATGTTTATGTCTGAAACCTTAATTC